GGATTTTAGGTAAGAGTCAGACTAGTTTTTAGAGAACATAGAAGAACGCCAAGCATCAGAAGATGAAAGGACGAAGGCCTGGGGGTGGATGGTGGGCCGGTCTCGAGAAACCCCCGGGGGTCCGGACGCCTTTGCGTGCCAGCTCCGTGAACCCAGACCTTGTCATGGGCGGGGTTTCTCTAGCCCCAGACAACACAAGAGACTCGGGTTTGATCCCTGGGTTGGGAAGATCCCCAGGAGGAGGAAATGGCAACCTATTCCAGTATTCTTGCCGGAAGAACCCCACGGACAGAGGAGCCTGGCAAGCTACAGTCCATGGGGTCACAAAGAGTCAGACACAACTGAGCACATTATCCTATACCCACCCAGTTCCTACAGCTTTTTCTGTGGCTTTTGATGCTTCTTATAAGATGCTCTCCCCCATCCCCAAAGAGTTTAAATTAAAACTTTTCAACTGTGACCACAGTCATGTCTAGACATCATCAGTGTGTTGACTATTATTAGGGAAATTGGGAATGACAGGAAAGACAGGAGAGGGGGTAGAAAGGAAATGGAGTGTAAAGTGGTTACAAATAATAACTTTATCTAATGCAAACATCTCAGGCGGGTATGTCTGGTAACACACCCTCACACAGCCCACCCCCCCACCCCCCCCACCCCCCTCCGCCCCCCGCCCCAGCCGTGCATGCCTGGAGGAACCATCCTCAGGCTGTCTGCCTCTGTCTACACATTCTCAGGGTTTCTGTTACATGAAGATGGAAGGTAGGGTGGAAGGAACACAAGCTTTCTGGGGAATGCTTCCTAGAACAGAGCCTGGGAGTCCTGGGCCCTCGGTCCTGAGAGTGCAGAGGGATGAATCTCATTTAGTTTGAATGGTACCAAAGCCCCCTGGACGGACAAGTAGGCATGCTGGAAAGTCAGTTGGGGTGGATATTTTGGGGGTTCCAGTCCAAATATGGTGGACTTAGAAAGGACACTATTGTGTAGGCCAGAGTGAGCTCTAGTGCCAGTGGATGCTATGTGATAACTACAGCTCAGCATCCGAAAAACCTTCCCATAAGAACAGTACATGCTGGAATCATAGAACAGTCTGGTCACAGGCCAGTATTCCCATGGGCCCTTTTTGAAATTGGAAATAACTCTCATTCTTGGGTTTCCCAGTTGACACTAGTGGTAAAGAACCCACCTGCCAATGCAGGAGACTTAAGAGACACGGGTTTGAAAGCTGGGTGGGAAAGATCCCCTGAAGGAGGAAATGGAAGCCCACTCCAGTATTCTTGCCTGGAGAGTCCATGGACAGAGGAGCCTGGCAGGCTTCAGTCCCTGGGGTCACACAGAGTTGGACATGTCTGAAGTGACTACTCACACACTCACTCTTGGCTGCTCAGAACCTCGTGCTTTTAGAGGGAGAAGGACTAGTGGGGATCTCATCCAAGCACTCATGTCACAAATGAGGAGACGAAGCCCCAGGGGAAGGGGCCCAGGCTCCGCCCGCCATCACCCGATGGGTGATCTTCCCACCTGCTGGAGTTTGCAGTGGTTCTTAGTCACAAAGCTGGTGGGCATAGATGTCCGTCACCTCTTTTACTCTGCTCCTGAATCTTCTAGCACTGTCCCTTCCGCAGACATGTTTTGGAAGCTGCAGTGAAAATGTTACATGCGCCTAGGAGAAACAAGGCCTCTCATGGGGGCCCTCAGGTTCCCTGGGGGCAGTCCAGTGGGGTTACCTCTGAGCCCAAACTCTGCTCCTGCTCTGGCTCCCCCCACCCTGTCTGTGGAGGACTGGCTCCATGGGGGAGGCGCACCCAGGCAGTGAATGAGTGGACCCCCAGGCTCTGAGGAGGAATCCTTACTCCTCTGGCATTTCATTCAAAATATGTTCAAAGAAACAATCCTACTTCATCTTCATAAGAGGAGATGGTTTTTTAAAAACTAAATTGGAGTATCATAATAGCACCACACAATTAAAGGAAATCATTAGGAGGAATTGCCTTGAGGCTTCTTAAATCTTGCATAGGAAAATATTTTTATTAGAATGAATCCATTTGCAGATTACTGAAATGGTCTCTAACAAAACATGACGATGAGTGTTCTTAGAGACTGAGTTTTCAAAGATGTTAAGGAAAACTATCAGCCCCCGCCCAAGCTTATTTTAATAGACACTTCCTTTTCTTACCATGAGAGCAGATGATTTTATACTAATACTACTTTATTTATTTTGTAAATTGGTTACTGAATATGTTAGTTGAATCAGTTCAGTTCAGTCGCTCAGTCATGTCTGACTCTTTGCAACCCCATGGACTGCAGCACGCCAGGCCTCCCTGTTCATGACCAACTCCCGGAGTTTACTCAAACACATGCCTATTGAGTCTGTGATGCCATCCAACCGTCTCATCCTCTGTCATCCCCTCCTCCTCCCGCCTTCAATCTTCCCCAGCATCAGGGTCTTTTCAAATGAGTCAGCTCTCCACATCAGGTGGCCAAAGTATTGGAGTTTCAGCTTCAGTATGTTAGTTGAATACTTACTCTCTTAATACTCCTAATTATAACCAACGATGCTGAGTGGGTCTGAACCAGTGTTTGGAATGCTGATGCACCCATCAGTGTTCTCTGCCAACAGTGACAGAGAGTTAGTTCGTGTTCAGAGGGCTGCAGAGACAAATGTGACACTGTATCATGTGCTAACTAGTAGTTAGCACGCTAAGTCATGTCTAACTCTGCGACCCCATGAACTGCAGCATGCCAGGCTTCCCTGTCTTCCACTATCTCCCAGAGTTTGCTCAAATTCAGTCCATTGAATTGGTGATGCTATCCAACCATCTGGCCCTCTATCACCTTGTTCTTCTGCCCTCAGTCTTTCCCAGCATCAGGGTCTTTTTCAGTAAGTCAGCTCTTTGCTTCAGGTGCCCAAAGGACTAGAGCTTCTGCTTCATCATCACTCCTTCCAATGAGTAATCAGGATTGATTTCCTTTAGGATGGACTGGTTTGATCTTGCAATCCAGGTGACTCTCAAGAGTCTTCTCTAGCACCACACTTTGAAAGCATCGATTCTTCTGTGCTCAGCCTTCTTTATGGTCCAAGTCTCATGTCCATACATGACTACTGGAAAAACCATAGGTTTGACTAGATGGACCTTTGACAGCAAAATGATGTCTCTTCTTTTTAATATGCTGTCCAGGTTTGTCATAGCTTTCCTTCCAAGGGACAAGTGTCTTTTAAGTTAATGGCTGCAGGCACCATCTGCAGTGATTGTGAAATCCAAGAAAATAAAATCTGCCACTTCTTCCACTCTTTCCCTTTCTGTTTGCCGTGAAGTGATGGGATTGAATGCCATGATCTTAGTTTTTTCTAATGCTAAGTTTCAAGCTAGCTTTCTCAGTCCCTCATTAAGAGGCTCTTTAGCTCTTCTTCACTTTCTGCCATTAGAGTGGTATCATTTGCACATCTGAGGTTGTTGATGTTTCTCCTGGCAAGCTTGATTCCAGCTTGTGATTCATCCAGCTGGGCATTTCACATGATGCACTCTGCATATAAGTTAAATAAGCAGGGTGACAATACATAGGCTTGTCATACTTCTTTCCAAATTTTGAACCAGTCAGTTGTTCCATGTCTGGTTCTAACTGTTGCTTCCTGACTCATGTACAGGTTTCTCAGGAGACAGGTGAGTGGTCTGTTACTCCCATCTCTTTAAGTAGAAAGATTTATCTTGGGAGTATTAATAAGTGTTTCACTGTAGTGGTCTTGGTGGGGGGTGGGGGAGTCAAGCTGTTCAGAAGGCCATAAATAAGACCCATGAATGCTTAACTATTATACAAGTTTTCTATAAAGTAACATATTTAGGTACGATTTACACCTTCAGCTTGTCTTCTTAGTTCCCTGGGGGACTTGGTAAAATACCTACAAAAAACTTGATTTCTGCCCATTGTGTGAAAAATCATGGAGCATTTATAATCACACTATCTATTTATATGATTGATCTAGAAGTATTTCTAGGGGGTTTCTTCTCTGTTTGGTGCTAGTTTAGTTAAAAATAAGCTTGTATTTAATGAGATGAATTAGTACACATTCCGTTTACAGGAGATGGTGTTTTCAAATACACTGGTTAGCAAAAATAAGATAAACATGCTGACTTTTAAAAAACCGTGAGTGATTACTGTCGTTTCTTGCCATCTTTTAAGTTTTTGAAGCGTTAGGTGCTTGTTAAAAGTGTTAAGAGTGACAGAAGTCAGAAGTTTTGCTTCATTGCAAAACGGGCATCTTAGAAGTCACCGAGACTGTAGCCTAAGCAGATAAGAGAGCCGCAGGAATCCAGTGGCCTGTCATGAAGTGGGAACCGGGCTTTGGGGACCCGCATTTCTACTCTCATCTGGTGTTTCCTGGGTTTGGGTTTAAGTGATGCCGGGCCGGGCGTGATCGGGAGGCGGGTCTCTCTGATGGGGAGGCGCTGGGAGGAGTCGGCGCGTGGGAAGCCTCCGCCGCTCTTTTTCTGGAGCCGCGCCGGCCTCCGAGCGCCGGGCGCGGGCGGCGGGGCCCGGTGCGGCCGCCGGTATCAGCTCCCTCCTGGGTTGGGGGAGCCCCGGGGCGGGCGCGGCGGGGCGGCGGGGCGGGGGCGCGCGGCTTCGCTGTTGCTACAGCCGTGATGTCACTCGCCCATCCTAACCCGCGGTTGGTTGTTGTGTGTTTCAGCTCTGCCTGCAGTTGAACACAAAGACCTGGAGGAGACTCCCACATCCTTCGGGGAGGAGAAAGGAGGCGGCGAGGCCCGGTTACAGGAACTTGGGGGCTGGTGGCCTCTGCGCACCGGCCGGCCGGCGAGGGGGCGAGGGGATTAGAGTCCCGGGGCGGTGACCGAGCGGGAGATGAGGCGCTGCCGCCGCCGCTGACCCTCGGTTCTGGAACAGCCGCTGCGCTTTGTGCTGCCCGCACATGTGTCTGCCCAGCGCATCCGGAGGCGCGCACACGAGCATCCACCACGGCCGCCGGGGAGAGAGTGCCCGCCATGCCCACGGAGAGCCTACAGACAGGTAGCATGGTGAAGCCGGTCAGCCCCGCCGGCACCTTCACGTCGGCCGTGCCCCTGCGCATCCTCAACAAGGGGCCCGACTACTTTCGCCGCCAGGCGGAGCCCAACCCCAAGAGACTCAGCGCCGTGGAGCGGCTGGAGGCCGACAAGGCCAAGTACGTCAAGAGCCAGGAGGTCATCAACGCCAAGCAGGAGCCCGTGAAGCCGGCGGTGCTGGCCAAGCCCCCCGTGTGCCCGGCCGCCAAGCGCGCGCTCGGCAGCCCCACGCTCAAGGGCTTCGGCGGCGGCGGCGGCGGCGGCGCCAAGAGCGAGGGGGGCGCGCCTCGCGAGACCCTGAAGCTGGAGATCCTCAAGAACATCCTCAACAGCTCCGAAGGCTCCACCGCGGGCTCGGGCCACAAGCACAGCGCGCGGAACTGGCCGGCGCCCCGGGCCGACGCGGCCGAGCTGCACCGGCACTCATTCGCCGAGTCGCTGCGCGCGCGCCCAGCGCCGGGCCGGGGCAGCCCCCAGGAGGGCGGCTCGCACGTGGGCCGCCGGCCGCCCGAGCCCACCTCTTCCGCCGCTGCCGCCGCCGCCGACGCCTTTCTGCACGTGTCCCACAGCTCCTCGGACATCCGCCAGGGGCCCGGCGCCAGGCCCTTGAAGGCCATCCTCCCCTGCAGCAGTTCCGCCCCGCCGCTGCCCCCCAAGCCCAAGGTGGCCGCCCCGGCCGCAGTGAAGTCCCCCGAGGCCGAGGCGGCCGAGCCAGCCGGCGGGGTGGGCAGGAGACCCTCGCTGCAGCGCTCCAAGTCGGACCTGAGCGACAGGTATTTCCGCGTGGACGCCGACGTGGAGCGCTTCTTCAACTACTGCGGACTGGATCCAGAGGAGCTGGAGAACCTGGGCATGGAGAACTTCGCGCGGGCCAACTCGGACATCATCTCGCTCAACTTCCGCAGCGCCAGCATGATCAGCTCGGACTGCGAACAGTCTCAGGACAGTAACAGTGACCTTAGGAACGATGACAGTGCCAATGACCGGGTGCCCTACGGCATCTCCGCCATCGAGAGGAACGCGCGCATCATCAAGTGGCTATACAGCATCAAGCAGGCCAGGGAGTCGCAGAAGGTGTCCCACGTGTAAGAGGCAGCAGCGCGCCCGGAGGGAGGCAGGGGGTGTTCTCTGTCCGCGCCTCGGCACTTGTGAAGATTGTGAGGTCTCCTTGAAGTGTTGTGAGCTTCTCCACTCTCTTTGTGTTGCTTGTTCTGCAATGTCTTTCCAGTTGCATGCCCGCCAACACGGGGACTGACCTGGCGTCCTCGGCTACCATCGCTGCCGAGCCTGGCCGGTCGTGCGCCACCCGCCCCAAAGTGTCAGGCCACATCCTAATTTAGGGCTTCAATCTTTGGCAAAACTGTTTACACGGAAAACGGTATACAACTTCTTCAATATTTATGTGGTTCTAGTGTTTTTATATCCCGCGCTATGGTGTCTTAATTAAAAGTTTTATCAACTGGCTTTTAAGTTGGGAGTAGCATCTTTTTGAATTTAAAAAAAGCCAATTTGCCTACATGTGAGACCCAAACGGGAAAATAAATGGGCTCTGCTATCAAACAGATAGTGAGGGATCCCAGAGAACTGGGCTGGGCTTTCTGAGAAAGAAAGTGGGAAATCCGATGTCAGTCATTTACTGTTGACAGTCCTCTTGCCATTTACACAAGTAATGATTGGGGACACATCATTCTGTGTCTGATTTGGTGTATAAACGTTGGTGGTTCTGTGTAATACTGACCCCAAGGAAAGACAATCAGATACAATGAAGGGGGTTAAATCAGGAGGTTGGGTGTTAGAGGGGCTTGTTACTATTAATCTGATTGGGTTGATTTAGAAATTTCGACTATCAATCATTTGACAGAACTGGCCACCCTAGAGCTGATACTGAATGTTTTTTGTTTTTTTTTTTTAAGTTGGTTTTTTGGTTGAGAATTCCAAGTGGATTCTCCTCCCTCCCTTTGTTGTAATTGTTTTATCTGGGAGAGGGGAGTGGGGCTTGGGTGGTGGGAACTACCTGAAGACCACTGAACACAAATGGAAATGCCAGCCATATCAGTTTAGAGCCTCCTCTTCAGAAGTCAGTACCTTTGGTAGCTGGACCAGATTTAGGCAGCATGACTATGTCCTCATGCATATGTTAACCTGTGAGGCTGCAGGGAACTTGAAACATGACTCTGTGTAGCTTTTCAACCCGAAGATCCTTAGGGCTGCATGTCAGCTTGTTCCCCCATAAGCTGTCCTACAGGTGGTCTAGTTGGCTGTCCGACAGCTGACAGTCATCCTGCAGTAGCCAAGGGGTCCACCTGGGATGCTCAGCTTCCTCGCTCTTGTAGACACGCCCTGGAGCTCCCAGCAGCACTGCCTTAGCCTTCATCAACTCATAGGATACTTTTTATGCTGTAAATGCTGTAAGACTTTGTACATACTTCAGTTGTTTATGAAATCTTCAAGAAGAAAAAAAAAAAGCAACGTTACTCTAATAAATAGCTCTGGTGCAGGCTCTCATGGTGGTGGTTTCTCTTTGTCTTTTCCTTCACTCCCTCCACAGAAGTTTCACTTTGGACTGTGAGCCAGAAGGAGACTTTTGAGGGTCTTGAAGAAGCAGCATTTCATTAAGTTATTTTCACCATATCCCAATCATTCTGAACAGCTGTATTCTTCATTGTAGTTAGATCAGTGTGCTTTTTTGCTAAAATAATTTCATGGAGGTTCCTAAAATCTGCTGCTGCTTAAATCAAAACTTTCAGTTTTTTATCTTTTCTTAAAATCAGGATTTTTCACATCTTCCACCAAACTCTTAAGTTGTAATTATTTGTTACAACTTCTCACAGTGGAGTTCTTACAGTGGAGACAGACCTTTGAAATTTATAGCCTTGTTCTTATTTGAACAAACCCAGTATCATTAATGTTACATGTGTTTATATAGTGGTCCACTCATTCATTCATTCATTCCTCTATCAAAAGGGTATATGATGAGTGATTCCCTTTTCAGGCCTTACCATTGACCCAAGACTGCTGTGGTCAACAACACTGTCTGCCTCAAGGAACTTAGATTTTCACTTGAATTTTCATTCTAGTGAAGTATCATTCCTCCCAGTGGACCTGTCTTATCTCATGTTATTAATAGGACATTGAGTATTCAACAGCTATTTAATGAATCAAGTTATTTGAAGATTAACATTTTTTTTCCATTTTTTTTTTACAGTTTTTTTTTTTCCATTTATTTTTATTAGTTGGAGGCTAATTACTTTACAACATTGCAGTGGTTTTTGTCATACATTGAAATGAATTAGCCATGGATTTACATGGATTCCCCATCCTGGTCCCCCCTCCCACCTCCCTCTCTACCCGATCCCTCTGGTTCTTCCCAGTGCACCAGGCCCGAGCACTTGTCTCATGCATCCAACCTGGGCTGGTGATCTGTTTCAGCCTAGATAATATACATGTTTCAATGCTGTTCTCTTGAAACATCCCACCCTTGCCTTCTCCCACAGAGTCCACAAGTCTGTTCTATACATCTGAGTCTCTTTTTCTGTTTTGCATATAGGGTTATCGTTACCATCTTTCTAAATTCCATATATATGTGTTAGTATACTGTAATGGTCTTTTTAAAAGTTGCATATAACATGGAAAAGTAAAAGAAAGGATTATTTTAAAAGTTTCAGAAACAGTATGATTTGCAACTCTTACACTCACCAACATTTTCCTTTGAAAATCAGATTTGATTCTGTCTACTGGTTTTGAATTTTTCTGGTTCTCTTCTTAATTTTAATTCAAGTAGAACTCTACTTGCCAGAAGAGTCTGAAATACTGCTATGAGTGGTGATGGTGCAATGGATTAAAGATAATAGGATGAAAGCTTAATATTTTTATACACACACACACATTTTCTTCCTTCATCATTTGGATAGAAATGAAGCCATTTAAAATATTCATGGCTTTAGTATTTATATACCCATCTCTCTCTGGGGCTATTGAAATACCAAAGATAGATGTTACTTTCCTAAAGTAACTGGTGGTGCTAGAGATGAGGGCTTGGCAAATTTACTATCACTGCCTATGCTGTTTTAGTTATAGATTTTGTTTCAGTCTTCCAGTGCTTCAAAACCACCTTAACCTGTGTCCTAACAAACCTATAAATCACCCCCACTATTGTTAAGTCTAATCGTCTGTGGCCTTTATACCATGAACAAATGTGAGGCTTTGGGTTCTTATGGAATTTGGGAGTTCCTTATTTTATTTTTGTCTTTGAAATTAGAGCTTCTATAAAGGATGATTTCAAATGCTTCACATTAAATCCAAGAGTAAGCCATTTCCCAATTGTGAAGTCCTTTTTGCAAAATGCTCACTTTTTTTAGCTCATGGGTGTAAGTATATTGATAGTGTGTGTGCGTGTGTGATGATACTGTTGGTGTGAGTATTGGGCTGTAATATAGTTCAGCCCACTTTTATTCCCCCACACAATGCAGAGTGACGCAGGATTGCACTAGCTGGCCCTAGAGACTAGTTTCTTTCTGCAAAGCAGCATATTTTAAGACAGTCCTCCCATACCCACCTCCTCTATCATTGACTCTGTTCAGGCTCTCATCTTCTCTTGACTGCACTGTTGTTCCTACAACTTTCTAACTGCAGGTCCCCCTCTACCCAGTCAGCCTCTACCCATCCCAGTTCTTGCCAAGGATTTTATAATCAATTCTGTTCATGTCACTCTTCTAAGTAAAAAATCCTTCCACTTAAATAAGTTGCTCGTAGGATTAATCCTAACTTCTTAACAAGATCGTCAGGCATCTTGCTGTCAGGCCTCACATTCTGTGTCCCTTTTAGCCACCACGCCTAGGCCTCTGCACTCCAACCAAACTGAAGTTTTCACTGGGGACTTTTTAACCACTGCATCAGTGATCTGTCTATATCTATGTGGTGGTAATGGTGGCTCAGACGGTAAAGAATCTGCCTGCAATGCAGGTGACCTGGGTTCGATCCCTGGGTTGGGAAGATCACCTGGAAAAGGGAATGGCCACCCATTCCAGTATTCTTGCCTGTGAAATACCATGGACAGAGGACCCTGGTGGGTTACAGTCCATGGGGGTCACAAAGAGTCAGACAAGACTGAGCAACTAACACACTCAGTGATGTATGGCTGCTAACAAATTTCCCCACTATTCAGCAACTTAAGACATTAAGTATTTGTTATCTTGGTTTCTGTGGATCAGAGATCCTGGTGAGGCTTAGCCAGATGGTTCTGGCCGAAGCTGTCTCATCAAGCTACAGAGAGGAGTCAGCCAGAGCTGCATTATCTGAATGCTTGACTGAGGCTGGATGATCTGCTTCTAAGAGAGCTCATGTGGTATCAGCGGGAGTCCTCACAACGTGACAGCTGGCTCCCTCGTCTCTGCGAGAGAGTGACCTGGGCAGGGAAGAAGCCAAGTCACACACCTCCACCATGCCCAGTTCATCAGGAGAGTATTACCAAACAGCCCACACTCATGGAGAGGAGAAGGAGGCTTCACTGTTCTAAAAGAAGGAAGATCAAAGAATTTGTGGGCTTATTTTTTTTTTAAAGTTTTTTAAAATGTGGACTATTTTTAAAGTCTTTATTGAATCTGTTACAGTTTTGCTTCATGTTTCAGTTCTTGGCTTAGACATATGTGAGATCTTAGTTCCCTGACCAGGGATCAAACCTGCACCCCTGCCCTGGAAGGAGAAGTCCTAACCGTTTGACCACTGGGGACATCCCTGTGGACTTACTTTAATAAACATCACCACTACTCCTATGCCAAGGATGTCCCTGTGGGCTTAGTTTAATATCACCACTACTGCTACGCCAGGGACATCCCTGTGGACTTACTTTAATAAATATCACCACAACTGCTGAGTTCCTGGGACTCTTCGTTCTGTGAGGAATGCTTTCCTTTCCCTCCTTGACCTTGGAGAGTCAGCTATCAACCAGTGAGTTGTTTTAGGTTTTTTTTTGTTTGTTTTTTTGAGTGTCAGAATTGCCTTTTCCTGTTAGATATGATTTTTGTCATGACCACCATGGCCCCAACCTTTGCTGGACTATGTGGCTGCCTCTCTGTGAATTTTGAGACAGT